GATGCTATGTTTCAAAGTCTCTTATGGGCCATTCTTAGTATGAAATACCATAGAATGGAAAAAATGGTTTTTGTTTGACACGATATGGCCTTGATAGGAGCAGTACATAATCAGTTGAGATGGCCGACTCATAAGTTTTAAGTGTCGGTTTTATTAAAGGCTCTTGGTGAGCTTAGGGAATGGAGTTTACAAATAGAAAGACGAGAAACTTGTAAAGGAGCGATTCTCATTGCGCATAATGTACCAAGGAAATAAATAATGCAGTCATATGTGGAGGTTGGTACTCCTAGCTGGCTCATGAATCTGCGTGGATGTGAGTGCATTTTTTTCTCTGATTAAGTTGTGAAGTTTTTAAAGTGATCGTGATTATGGAGTGAAGAAAAATATTCATTTTTTGGTTAACAATTTGGTTTCTGATCTTTATAAATTAAAAATGTTTAGGCTTTGGACCTTTATTCTAATTGTAAAAGCATGTGAAAAAACAAACAAATTCTTCATTTTTTCCAACAAATTTTAAATCGAAAAAATGTTATACGTAAATTTTAAAATTAAAATTATTATATGTTAAATATATATGCCATATATTGAAGACAAATGAAAATGTAACTATACAGATGATTTCCTTAATAAAACACTAAATAAATTATTAACATTGTTCACTCATTTTGTTTTAGTAAATTAGTTAGTTGATAAAAAATTGAAAATTTGATAAAAAAAAAATATGTCATTTCACTAATTTACGTTTGTCAAATTTTTGCATCGAATTTTGGATAATTTACTTTTAGGCTTTGATTAGTGATCTATAAACGCATCTTCAAGCTTGGTGAGGGAAGCTTTGAGATTTCCATCATGGAAATATCAAGTGGCATTTTGAAGGTAAAAACTTTCTTTTGTCTTCTGCATACTTTTTTCACCTTGATTTGCTACTTTTGTGTTTAATTATACTGCATTTGTTTGTCTTATCAGGTGAAATCAACCAAGGGAGATGCGTTTTTGGGAGGAGAAGACTTTGACACCGCTTTGTTGGAGTATTTGTGTTGGGCATGGGCTTCCCCAATAAAGATTTCGAATCCCATTTCTTCGACTTCGGCCCATCAGTGATTACAGACCCAACTCAAATCAAGGAAAATCCTACATAACCCCACCTCCTCATTCTAGTATAAAAGGGGACTCCTCTCATTGAGTTGTCCCATCATCTTCCCACTTTTGAAGAGTACAAGAGACCCAAAAACGTATCGTTTTGGGACTCTAAACTCAGACCAGAAAAGAATTCCGGTCGGCACTCCATCGAAAAAGTCATTTCAATTCTTCGAACTCTCACCTCATTAGTTCTAAAGACACGTTTCTAAACTTTGTCTTTCGACACGTTCAATCCCCATTACCAGGTCCCGACCTCAGCTCTTAAGCAACAGGTTTCGACCTCTGAACACTGATACGACTGATCTCGTTACTCAGTCAGTCAGTACTCAGCTCGTAAAACACAAGGTTAGTCAGTTCTCAAGCTTCCGAGCTCAAATCCCCTCTTTTATACTCATGTTCGAATATTATAATATGTTTCCGAGCATGTAATCAATAAACGAAAATTTCCGAGCCTCTCTACTATTTATAAATATATTGTCGAACTCATGTATCAACAATTTGGTGCGAGTTTAAAGGAACTCACAAGATTGATGTTACTAAGAACCAGCATGACCTCCAAAGTTTGAGAAAAAAGGCAGAGAAGGCCAAAATAGTCCTGTCTCCTGCATATCAGACCAAAATCAGCCTGCACGTAGATGCTCACACTCCTAGACCACATGACTTGAAGATGACCTTAACTAGGGGGAAATTTGAAGCTTTGTTGAGCGAGTTGATTGATAGGACAAGAAGACAATGTGAAGACTGTCTGCAACATTGTGCCATATCTCCTAACAAAATTGATCATGTGCTTCTCGTTGGTGGAATGACCTGAGTTCCTAAAGTCCAAGAAACTGTTCGTGAGATATTTGGAAACAATTGTAAAGTTGCTGAGCTCGCAGTGGCTGCCATTGGAGCAAGTATTCATGAGGCAATGCTCAATGGTCGTCATGTCAAGGACATAACTTCAGATCTTTTGTACCCCACCTGCACCAAAAGGAATCCCGCAGATTGAAATCACGTTCAGTATCGATGAAAGTGGAGATTTGACTCTCTTATCAAATAGCACACATAATCAGGTCTTGAGGTAGATTTTGCAGATCTTGATGGAGCTCTTTGAAAACGGAGAGGATATATGTAGATATTTTAAGAATTTGTGTACAGGATAAAAGTTGTGGATTTTTGAGTGATTTGGTGAATTTTTGTTGTTTAGAGCAATGCTTAATTCCTTCCTTTTTAGCACCTTGCTTGCTATATACACCGAGTCTTCTTCTTCGATCTGCAAAGGACCATTTAGACCCTTCTCTTGACGGTGAATGGGTTTGGCGTTGCCACAGCCCACATGCCTAATCCGGTCAAATCGAAATCAATACATTTTCAAATCCGTCTATATTCTTTTGTTTTGATACTAGCATTAACATTAACTTATGCACATGCATAAGTTAAATTTAATTATAGTATAACAATAGAAAAATGGAAAAGTATGATTTTTACTATTAAAAGTATTCACCAAAACTTTTGCTACATACCAGCTATGAAAAGAAGAGTATAAGTTCCTAATGAAATTAGAAATAGTATTCCTTGGATTTTGTAGACAAAATGGAAGAATATGAATGGTTTAACTTTTGAAGGCAAATGATATTGGTCAATGGATACAATCCCAAAGATCTCCGAGGATACAAACAATTGGGTCCTAGCCCAAAATGTGAGGGATAGTGATCCCCAAAATCTGCAGGTTCAAGAAAAAATGGTTCTTAGCTTGGAAACTTCCAAAGCCGAATTATGTGAAGTGCAATGTGGGAAGTGATTGGTTGAAGGAGAACCAAATTAGAGGTGGAGCTTGGATGTTGGCAGATCCAGAGGGTAAAGTCTTCCTCCATAGTAGGAAAGCTATTGAAACATCTTGTAGTAAAGATGATGCTATGTTTCAAAGTCTCTTATGGGCCATTCATAGTATGAAACACCATAGAATGGAAAAAATGGTTTTTGCTTGTGACGATATTGTCTTGGTAGGAGTAGTACATAATCAGTTGAGATGTCCGACTTATAAGTTTCAAGTGTCGGTTTTATTGAAGGCTCTTGTGAGCTCAGGGAATGAAGTTTAGAAATAGAAAGACGAGAAGCTTCTAAAGGAGTGATTCTAATTGCGCATAATGTACCAAGGGAAGAAATAATGCAGTCATATGTCGAGGTTGGTGCTCCTAGCTGACTCATGCATCTGCGTGGATGTGAGTGCATTTTTTCCTATGATTAAGTTGTCGGAGATTTTAAAGTGACCGTGATTATGGAGTGAAGCAAGATATTCATTTTTTGGTTAACAATATGGTTTTTGATATTTGTAAATTAGAAATTTATTCTAATATTGAAAGCAGGTGGAAAAAAAATTCTTCATTTTTTCCAAC